TTTCAAGCACTCTGCTGCTGTGCACTTCTGTCAGGGCATGGCTGTAGAGCACTGTCAAGGGGCCAATCATGTGACAAATGTCACTTCTATCAGCTGCTATATTTTCCAAAAGAGAAAAAAATTGGCATTGGCCTCACTCCCTGACAAAAGGCCAAAGTTTGTCCCAAACTGATATGGCTAGTATACCAATGGCTAATATCATATCCAGCTGCCTTTGACTCTCCAACTTGAAAGACTAGGTATTCACTTTTACTACTGGATCCAAAGCAAGATCCTTCATCTGCACTCTGCCACACCCAGCCTAGCATGAAGAGAAGCCCATTGTGTAACCCAGTGGTCACCAACCAGTGGATTTCAATCCACCAGTAGATCTCGGAGTCTCTTGTGGTAGATCTCAGAGCCTCTTGGAGTCAATCCAAGGCTGGGGCAGGGGCTGAGTGCCCATGTGCAGGCATGCATGCGCTCCAGCCCAGCAGGTTAATCCATGGGGGAGGGAAGGGGTGAGGGCTAAATCAAGGCTCTTATGGTGAGGGACTGTGCCGCAGAGGCAGCAGCAGGGGTAAGTTAAGTGGGGCCCCAGCTGGGTGGGACTTTCCTGCTGGGGAGGTGCACGCCTAAATAATTTTTTCTGCCTCGATCTGCCCCCTCTCTTCCTGCCCCACAGACCTACCTGCGGGGAGTGGGGGGGATGGTGGTGGTGCACGGTAGATCTTGGGTTGTTTTTAAAGGCCATAGGTGATCTCCTACGTAAAAAGGTTGGAGACCACTGGTGTAACCTAACCATTCCAAGGTAGTTAAGCTGCCTAAATTGGCCCACAAATTTAGTTATATCAAAGGCACAAAAATAATGAAGAGTTTACCCTGGAGTTCTGTAAACTCTGGGATTAATTCTAGTATAGGCTAATTAGAAAGCGAAAACTTTAGGAATTAGGTCAGCTCCTATGTAACATTTCCTTTGCTGCAGTCCCCAAATGCTGGAACTGTAGGTCGAAGTCCAACTGTGTTTGGTATAATACAAATGCATGGTAAAAAAGATTAAAACCTGTAGTAATTACAAAACAAACCATCAAAATAGGTTGCTATTAATAGATTTAGCTTTATCTGAAAAAATCTGCAGCATAAATCTAACGTTTTTCAAGCTATTATGATTTGTATATTTATTTTGTTCATTAATTTTTCTTTTGAGCCATTTGAAAGGACTACTGAAAATCAAAACCATTCTGAAATAACTGATGGAAAATATAAAAGAAATCTAGAACAAAGGAAGGAGTTTAAGGAAAGGTACCTTTTTCAACTCAGTTTTAGTAGCATGCAAACAAGTACAAAGAGCCAGAGCTATCCCACCACTGGTCAGAAATGTGTGTGTAGTTTTTGCAGTTATGAAAGGACCGTGCAATTAGAAATAATATTCATGTTATACTGACTATCCAAAATTGGGTGTAAATATGTGGCTAATAATTACAATTATATAATTATTATATTTATAATATAATAATAAGTAGAATCATACATAAATTATATACACTTACATAATATATACCTATATATACTTAATGCAACTTGTTTTATGCTATGCTGCTTGAAAGTCCTAGTTAGCATCATATTAGTTAATGTGACTATTCAAGGTTATGTTCTAAGATAATTCTGTAGTGAAGAGAAGGTTATATATGCTAATATTGCTTGGGCTCACCATGATGAGAGGGAGAAACAGTCGCTTTGGAACTCTAATTATTTTGGCTTTAGGGCCTAGCTTTTCCATTTAAACTGCACCCAAGGAAAAACAAAAAAATCTGTTTTACAACTAAGTAAAGATTTCTTATCTACTCAGATAACTGCTAACAATGCAGCTGAAGTAAATACAAGAGACAAATTATCCTTTTTGTTGGCACTGCAATTTTAATCATTTTCGATTCAGACTCTATTTTGATTTTTCTTTTAATGATTAATAATTATGTGAAAAAGAATGGCAATGTGATTCCTGTGGATTTTTTTCAATAGCAATGCAAGTATCTTGTATATTTGTTCAGGTTAACCTCAAGATGATTTTAAATAATTTAGTTCTAAGACACCACTAAAAAATTTTGTGCCACCTTAAAAAATTATGACTTACGGATGGAGTCTTCTTTCAACAGCTCTGAATAAAACATGATACTGTAATTAAAACGGCAAGTATATTTGTTCCCATGAGGCCAGGCTTTTAAAGATGTAGATTGGTGCCCAGTGGACTGTTTATCTAAGTCCCCAGATGCTTTTAAAATCCCATTAGCACCTCAATACTTTAAAAAATCTGGTACACACTGGGCATGTCTACACATGTGCCCCCGTACTGTGCAGTTATTTAGTACTTGCTAAAGTAGT